TGCATTCAGTTTTGGTTGCCACAATGTAAAAAAAGAGTGCAGAGAAGAGCAACAAAGATGATTTGGGGACTGGAGGCTAAAACATATGAAGAACGGTTGCAGGAACTGGGTATGTCTAGTCTAATGAAAAGAAGGACTGGGAAGACATGATAGCGGTGTTCCAATATCTCAGGGGCTGCCACAAAGAAAAGAGAGTCAAGCTATTCTTCAAAGCATCTGAGGGCAGGACAAGAAGCAATGGGTGGAAACTTATCAAGGAGAGAAGCAACTTAGAACTAAGGAGAAATTTCCTTACAGTTAGAACAATTAATCAGTGGAACAATTTTCCTCCAGAAGTTGTGAATGCTCTAACACTGGAGGGTTTTAGGAGGATGTTGGATAGCCATTTGTCTGAGGTGGTGTAGGGTTTCTGGCCTGGGCAGGGGGTTAGACTAGAAGATCTACAAAGTCCTTTCCAATTCTGTTATCCTATCCTATCCTATCCTATCCTATCCTATCCTATGACTTAAGGATGTTGAAGATTCCTGATTGTATTTCTTGCCTGGACTGCCTTGCAGAATTAATAGAAGGAAACATCTGACAGTGAGGTAATAGCTCAGAGAGCTGTCAGGAATCTGGGCATAGAACTGCAGCAGGGATCACAGAGCAATTTCCATTTGTTTTATAAGACAGGTCCATGTATAGACAGAAATATCCTTGATAGCCACCAGTTATCTGGACACCAGTGGGTGCCTTTGTCCTCCTTCTTCATTGCATCTCTACTTGATAACTTACTGCAAGTCACTTAGTACTATGAATATATCTTCTCAATGCGTCTTGCGGTACACAATACATCTTCCTTATAAATGTAATAGCACTGGGCTCTAAGAACAATCCCTATCGGCAGATTGCACTCTTGGTTTGAACCACTTCTGCCTTGGGAGAATTTCTGAGTTTGTAAGTATTTGTAATATACAAATGCTATAGCTTCCTGTAGACTTTAATGGAACAAGACAGGAAAGAATTGCATGGAGGTTCATAAAACATGAGATCAGGTGGATAAAACAAATAGTAATTTTTTTAAATTAAAAAAAAAATGGATTTTTTAAAATTTAAATCAGTTTTTTTTATTTTTATCAAATTTATTTTAATAAAATGCTTTTGGAGTAATAATCTATCTAAAGATAGCTTTCTATTTAAGATACATTAATAATTTAGTTTATTTAGCATGAAATGGAGCTTAGTTATGTAGCATGAAGCTGTATACTCTGCAAAATTTACAACTCATTCAATGAATCCAAGCTTTGCAAGCTAAATAGGAAACCTTCATTTTGTTTGCAAACAATAATATTAAAGATTCTAACTGCCAGCAAGAATGAGTCCTTACATTGAAAGAGCACCTGTCATTTCAGATCCATCATGGCAGCGCCTACTAGCAGGCATCCACTCACCAGCTGCCTGCCATGTCCCTCACCTTGTTGTGTCACTGCCGCATCCCCAGCCATCCCATTAAAGTGAATGGGACTGTTGCTGAGTCAACAGTGGGTCAGAGGAGGAGCCGCTGCAGGACAGTGGCTCTTTAAAAATTATGATTTAAATCGAGTTGATTTAAATCAAGCCTTTTTACGAATGATTTAAATAATCTTGGTTTAAATCAAATCCACCCTGGATGAGATTCATATTTGCCTGTATTTTTTTTTAAAGTCATAAAGTCGCCATCTATAATACTCCTCATGTATCTTCTCTTGCCATTTCTTTACACAGTATTGCATATATAATGCTATAACCAGATGACACTCAGCCTATGGTGGCAAGGTTCAATAATCAAATTCCATTATCAAAATAAAGATTTTAAAAATTGGAGGTGTGTGTGTGTATGTGTTTGGATGAATCCAGTACTTCTGGTCAGAAATAGTCACATATTTTGGGTTGTGATTCCATTCTGTCCAAATTCCATATAATTCGATAACTAAGGTTCTGCATGAAACCTATATACGTCTCACAGTAAATATTTTAAATGTGCTTTATCTACGAATGTCCATTTCTGAACATTTGTTTTTGAAGTATAAGGTTTAAACTTTACTCATTTTGGGACTAGAAGTTGGTGAATGGGGCATTAATGCAGAAGGTACAGATAAAATCAATTTACATGCCTAAAATAATGGAAGAATTTAGTTCACATCAGTGTATATCCAACTAAACTTTTTTACTTTAAGTCAAAATATCTGGAGTACTATGTGAGATTCCTTAATGATAAGCTTTGATTCATAAGGTTAAAAGATCTATGGAAATGTATAGAAATTCTATTATACAGTAATTAAAACCATTTATTTTACTGAAAATTGAAAAATGCATTCATATTTCTATCAAGGCTGTAAACTAACATGCAGAAGAAAACTTGAGTTTGGGGTTTTTCTAGAAATGCAACTCAGATGCTTAAAAGAGATAGTAATTAGTCTGTCAATTCTTAAGTTTAAAAAAAACCAAATAAAAAACCAAATATCCTTTAAAACTATTGATGGAGTTCCAATGACTTGTAGTTATTCCAATACCTTCATATAATTGAGAATACCTTTGTGTATGTCTGTGTGTGTCCAGGGGATTGTTTGAATTGGAATCCTTATTAAAACAATGAAAGCTAAATTTAAAAATCCATGTTGAAATTCCACAAGCATGTCTGACTGTTAGTCTGATTAATACTCTTGTGAATGTAATGCTTTTAGAACTATTCTTCAATTAGTGTACAACTCTTATTGTATCACCCAATTTATTCTAAAAGCAAGTAAGTAAATGATACCTAGTCCTTGATTTTCTCAGAGCTGAAACTAAGCAATAGCTGTATAAATGAGGTTCCTAAATATGAGTTTTTGAATGACAGCTGCTTAAGAGCAATGTAGGATTCCTCCTGATACATGAAGCAAAACTAAATTTCCCCTGCAATGAAGCTATAATCTATCATCCATGACAGTTTCAAAATTATTTTCCATTACTCTTTTTGTATTGCTGTTTGGCCTTGAAAATGCTTACACAGGCAGTCCTCAACTTATGACTGCAATTGGGACCAAAAATCCAAGTCATTGTGATCATAAGTCAAAGCACCCATGTCAGTCATTAAAGAAATCACACAGTTATTAAGCAGATGACCACTATCCTTTGTAGTTTTATACATTTATGCATTTTATACATTCTTTTTATGTTTTCATTAAGTTAGATGGAAGATGAGATTTATATTTCTTCTATATGCCTCTGATGTAGAAAGAAGATATCCAATGGCTTTTCTGCACCATAGTCTTATGTTACTTGATTCCTTTTCTTAAACCAGCCAAAAACAAAGCTGGCTTTAAAAAATCCATATCCACATTTCAACTCCTTCCCTGCTTGATCATATAGACAGTCTGGCATTCTGTCCAGATTGGTGGATTCCTCTGCTGCTTTAGTCGTCCCACTGAATCAAAGGCTTTACAGAAGTCTATGTAGATTGCATTTATTGCTTTGCCCTGATCAAGTTGTGTAGTCCATATGTTTTTGCAGTGTAAGAATTGCAGATTACAGGATAGTTTTTTCCTGAAACCAAATTGTTTATTGGAGAGTAGGTTGTTTGTCTCTAAGTGGAGGATAATGGATTGGTTAATAGTTGATTCCATGACTTTACAGGTGACGCAGCATAAGGAGATTGGTCTGTAATTTTCAACTAGGCTGGGGTCTCCCTTTTTGAAGATGGGGATGACCGAGGCAACTTCCCCGCTTCCCTTGTTAAGCTTTTTTGTGTAATAAAAGCTTCCAGGGAAGATGACAATATTTTTCTTGTTGGTAGTCTCTATTATTTCCTGAGGTCTAAGTAGGCCTTTCACAAAAATATGATGATTTTGTCACTAAATTTCAGTGATGAAATTTAGGGGAGCTCTTAAACACAATGTGGGAGCCCATGCTTGATTTCAATCCCTGCTCTTTCTCCTTTCCGATGGTGTATCTTTTTTCTTCTTTTATTTCCAACTACCATCTATTTCAGCTCACTATCAGTTTATCAGGAAAAGAATAAATCCCTTGTTCATAATGATTAGGTTTATACTATTTAGCCATGGACTGACTTCAGTCCTGATATTAAACTCCACAGCATCAGCTAGCAGGTAATCTGTCACTTGTTTATTATATGAAGATACAACTCTTCCTGCCCCTTTGTGTAAGACCATTAAGAGCAGCCCCTGCTTCACAGCCATAGGCAAATAGGTTCCCCCCCCCTCTATATCTTGGTCAATAGTTCCAACTTGAACTAAGGATAAACTAAACTACAAACCATGGCCGAAGAAGAAATGAACTCAATTCCAGCATACTACAAACTTGATATGAAATAATGGCACAAGGAAAAACAACACCCATAAATTGCCAATTTGAGTATTACAATGAACTATAGCTAGCAAACCCCAGCAGAAGAAGGAATTTATGTAGTTAATGGAACATGGAACACAGGAGACCATGGTCCTGAGTGACAAAGGATAAGGTTGACATTTACATCTCAGGAAATGTCAGCCGTTGCATTTGGCATCTCAGTCTACATAAATACAGAATGGTTGAAAACACTCAGAGCAATTATGAGTTTGCCACAAGTTACAGCCTAAATAAGAATGGAGTAAATGAATTACTCGTGCCTTATGCATCTCACAGATTTTTAAAAATACCTCAATGATTAGTTTTTTCATTATGGCATATTTTACGATGCTTTAATCATGCTCTAACTATTACTGCTTCCTAATGCTTAGACATAAAATATTATAAATATTCAGATATTTAAGGAAAAATATGTGTTTCATTAATTCCACTCCACTACCACAAAACAATTGGGAGATGCTTGAATTTCTCTTTTTAAAAAATCCCTGATTAAATGCCTCATAGAATAAAGCATATACAGCAATTTTGAGAGATGTTTTTATCAACTTTTGCTTTTGAAATTCCTTTCAATCTGAAATATGCATATTGAAAGATTGTCCCATTATTCACTGACATGGAGTCAAAAAGAAACTTACTTTTATACGTTATTCTTGTGATGGTGTCTCTGTTAAGCATACGATTTAAAAATGGATTTGATGATTCAGAAACCTGCGATGGAAAGAATTCATTGTCAAAACAAAAGTAATAACCACGAACCTCTTTTTTTTGGAAAGTGTCTATTTATCAGGGTGGGGATGGAGGGGTAGGAGGAAGAGAATCAAGGGACAAGTACAGAATTAGCAAAAATGTGGATGTACTGCAATCAGATGAAATGAGTAATGGCGGTTCAACTTTGTATTAGTGCAGTCCAATGGAAAACAGAAAGGAAAGGGAGCTGTATTCTGAATACTCTGAACATGAGTTGCATCAGCTTCTTGCCATCCTAGTTTTTGGTTTTAACTGAAAATTGAACTAATACTGTTGGAAAACAGGCATAATCTGACATAGTTATGCTGGCAATGAATAATGCCTTTCAATCCATTTAGGCAAGACTGGTCATAAACCACCACGACTCTCTAGGCCTCAATTTTCTGGGGAAAAGAGATAGAGTGGGCTAATCTAGTATACACTAGATTCGTTTAGGCAAAAATCCAGAGCAAAACCTGGTCTGTTTTTGACGTAACACTTTCTGCCTCAAATCACAGCATGCTACATTCTCATCTATGCTGCAGTTATAGTGGGATGAAGTGTGGATTCACAATCATTTTTAGCAGGAGCATTTAGTAAAGGAGAAGGAGGTCCGAGCATCAACCTGCCTCCAGTCAAGAGCAGCAATCCAATATGCAGGAAAGATCAATATGGCCTTAAAATACTACTCAAGAAAGGTAACTAAGGTAACCACTTGCTTTGAGGTTAGGTATGAATTTGGTATGAGCAGGGGTGGGATTCTACAGGTTCGCACCTATTCTCTAGAACCGGTTGTTAATATTCTAAGCAGTTCAGAGAACCGGTTGTTAGAAGAAATTACTGGCCTAATCCTGTAAGGAAGGCAGGAAGGAAACATTCTGGTGTTGCTTACAGAAACTGCCTCTCCATTAACTCTTATTACATTCTTGGCAGGACTAGATTTCCTGTCTCAGGAACTTCTCTGGAGGTTTTTTTCCCCTCCTTTGCTGGTACCTTGCTTGTGTCGAGTGACCATTCAAAGTTACAATGGCACTGAAAAAAGTGACTTATGATCATTTTTCACACTTACGACTGTTGCAGCATTCCTACAGTCATGAGAGGTCAGGCGAAGAGATGCATGCCTCAATGTGAGTGATGTTGAGTTGGCCATGCCCAGCCAGTCACATGACCATCAAGCCACACCCACCAATAAGCCACGCCCACAGAACCAGTTGTTAAAAATTTTGAATCCCACCCCTGGGTATGAGTCGGCTTTTTTGTGGCTTCTTCTGCAACATTTTGAAATACTTTGTCCTCTGCTCTTTGCCTTCATTTAGAACAAGGCTTGGTTACATGTATACATGGCAATGATAGTTCAAGCCAGAACAGTGTCAAGGTTACAGAGTGGAATCTGACCACAAATTAATTAGCCTACACTTGTCAGGTTGACTCTTGGGCTTGGACTGAATGACAACAAAATGCAAGATGTAGTCTGGGAATAATTCAGACCAAAAATGCACCAGGGACATCTTCAGCATGCAATTCCCACTTTCATTCTCTTTTCTCTATTCCTTTCCCCGCTCTTTCCCTTTATTACCTGAAGAGCAGGATACAGAGGGAGTATTTGGAATAAATTCTCAGGCATTTTACAGTATGAAAAGAAGAGGCCTTTTTTACTGGGTTAATTTCTCTTGGAAACCAGGAGCACTTCATTATTGTGATACAAAATTTTTATAAATGAAGAAATATCCTCCTGAGATATCCAAGAAAAAGGACAAATAGAGATTTGGATTTTTTGTGTGTGTTCTGCCTAGCCCGAGCATATCAGATTATCACTTGGACATATAGTACACGACCCTTTTAAGTGGTGGTTGAAGGGGAAAAATATGTTCTCCATTTTTAACCCTATCCAATAAGTTAAAAATTATAATCAAGCTTGGAGCATGGAGACATGTAGGCCACCCTTGCTATCCCCAGCCTTAAATAAGGAATGTGGTTCAGTGGTTATAGTAATCAGTGATCCTGCTGTGCAATGAAGATTTATGATCATACAAAATGCAACAACCACTTTCAGCCAAATGCATTGTCTTTGTTCCTACCATGCCTGTCATTTTGGGAAGTCAAAGGCCTGTGTAGACTTCTATTCTCTCTCCAGTTACATTAAAAAAAAAAAAAAAGATTAGCTAACTGATGCAATGTGAAAGCTGAACTAGCTTTTAGTTCCATTACTGTATTAGGTCTGAAATTTTAACTGCCTCTAATAGATAAAAATGGCAGCAGCTCAGGAGAGAGTCAGCTTAGATTTTGCTCTACCTGTCACTGTTATAATGTACCTCTCCCCATGTCTCTCCTTTGGCCAGCTTTTAGTAGCACCATTCTAAGATCCCACACCAGAAACAAAATGGCCAGTTAGTGAAAAATGCAGTTGGAGAGAGAGGATTAAGCTCTTTGCACGCAACAAGGCGCCCAGATTCATGCCTGCTACAAAAAGAATAGGGTTGTACAAAATCTTTGAAGGGTGTTGACACTTGAATGGAAATTTGCACAAAAAGCCCATTTGAAGTGGAGAAGCTGTGTCGTTTGACCCAGAAATGGTGGCCTCTGTGTGTCTACCACACACACACAAAAGCAACTGTTGATAATATAGATTAGTCCCAACTCTTCTTCATTGGGGTGGAGTGAGTGACAGGCCTTCTTGAAGGAGATTGTGCTGAGATTCACCCCATTAAATAATATAACAGGTGACACATTGCCACCTGCATGACATTGATTTAGAAAATATGAGATAGCCCTCTATACGCTGGGCAACCTATTCTGAGGACTGCTAATATTGCATCTACCAATACTCCATCAGTTTTTCAGGCTGAAGTTCTGCTTCCACTTCTCCCTTCATGTCTTTGACTTTTCTGACTATCTCTGACCATTTCTCTAGTGCCAAATGAATGGTACCCCAAATCTACAAATCCTGTTTTCCAGAAAGGAACATGCATAAAGAAATTCTTTCCAAATATTATCTCTGCCTTTACCTCAATGTATGTAAATTATTTAGTACAGTGGCTATTGGATAGCTCACTGGGGAGTAATGCCCAATTCCTTTGTGCAGTACAGTATATTCTAGAAGTATTTATGGAGGGAAGAAACCCATAAACACAAGAATGGGATGAGAAAAAAGGCCCCCAAAAGATCTGTGATGCTTTCTGAGCATCTGCCGAAGAGTATTATTATTAATAACACAATTACAGTAATATAAAATATCACTGCATTATTTGCAGAAAGATGGAAATGGATTTGCATAATGTTTGTGTCTCTCTCTCCAAAGTGATACAATTGCTTTGCATCCTAAAGCACGACTGTGTTATCCCCAAAGAACCAGCATTTTTTAAATGCAGGCAGTCTTCAAAGTTGTCTTCCCCACCCTGTAGATAGTCCACAGAATTACAATTCCTTTGCTGGATAGGGGAGTTTGGAAGTTGTAATATCAACACATCTGGGGCATCAAATAAAAAAGGGCTGCAGTTAGAACTTCCTAGACTTATGCACCAATGCTCTTAATTTCTTAAAATCACCCAGCAGAATGTAATTAAACATTTATGAAATTTTACTATACTTACTTTCATAAATATAGAAACTACCACCAAGCCATTGGGACTTTTTGCAGCTTCTGTGACATTTGTATATAACTCATGGTTATAGTGGATTAGTTGAACCTAAGGATAGAGGGGAAAATGAAGAATAAATAGTGGAGAATCAAACCCACTCTCCTCTTATAAAGCAACAAACACTCTTTATAAGGGCATATCTATTTGCAATTTGACTTCCATCACGTTGGTACATTTTATAATAATTTATTATTATTATTTTTACAGCTTTGCTGCCTACATAATTTTAATAATCACTGTGGTCATCTGGCTTGTATAGGAGTGCATCAGTTATTCCTCTTCTCAACTGTCAATAAGTGGATTGAACACATTAAGATGCTGAATTTACTACAGAGGCACTTTTGCTGCAAAAGCATTCAAATAATCCAGCAAATATTTCTTTCCTTCCTCAGCTCTGTTTTCTTTAGCATCCCAAGCTCTTCTCAGAAATAGTTGGAGGTGGATCCTTGCACTATTATGAGAGAAAGGAAATGGCAGTGCCAGCCACAGCTATTTTGAATTGCACACAACTCATGAGAAAGCCTCCAAAGCCATATTCAAAATCCCTCCAAGTATATGAACCCGAGCATCATAATATCACGTGCCAAAGTAATCCACTAGGTGCTATGATGTACGTTCTTTAATTTCCCAGGCCCCACAGATAGACTTCTTCTTACAAACTTTTGACTTACAAACTTCTCTTGGTACCAGCAAACCTGCCCACAATTTAGAAGGTCCCAGAAGGCCAGAAAGGGTTAGTTTATGGCACGCTGCAAATGTATACTTGGCAGCAATGTCACACTGACAGTGAGAACAATCAGCCAATGGAACAGCTTGCCCTCGGAAGTTGTGGGAGCGCCATCACTTAAGACTTTCAAGAAGAGATTGGACTGCCATTTTCAGAAATGGTGTAGGGTCTCCTGCTTGGGTGGGGGGTTGGACTAGATGACCTACAAAGTCCCTTCCAACTCTGATTATCTGTTACCTGTGATTGTACTGTACACCATTTTGGACATTACCCAGTCCTGTCTGTTTCCTGATTTCATTATGTTTATTTTGCAATGTTATTCCTTTGTATGGTGACTGTGAATTACAGTATGTCTGGAATTAGATATGTGCCATTTACATAAGGTAAAAACTGTACTGTGCATATTTTTTTATACTTGGTTGGACTTACAATCAAATGGACTGATGGTCAGCCTCTTGGAATATAGTCTGATAATGCAAAAAACACAGAGGACTGTCTGTAACTACTGTTTACACAAATTATAATCTTTTTCATATATCCTCCAAAGCAAGACCCAAATAAATGTCCAAATGGTATTTTGACTCTGGGTTGCAAATGTTGTAAGCTTTATACAAATCCAGCTATTATAAGGGGATCCGTGATTAACTGTTTATATATTTTTCATATCTATTCTTTTTGTACACACACATACTGTATCTATCTGTCCTTCCTCCCACACACTTGAGATCTCCTACCAAAAAACAAAAACAAAAAACCACACCCTATCGATGCACAAATCTGTATTTGCACCTTTGCAGATATCCTAATTAAGGCTTGTCTTCCCACCTTGCAATTTTATAAGACTGTTAAGTTTTGCTCCTGAAGAAAATGTTGCTGTTCTAATAACAGGGGGGAAAAGTGCAGAAGCTCTTTTATCCTGTGTTCTTGGATATTGTTGGAAATATTTTTCTCTCCTCTTCTGCAGTAATGGTTTTAAATCTAGGCTATGCAAATTAAATTCTCATGATAACCACTGCATTTCAGACAAACCTTTTTTAAAATGTATGCTGCTAAAAGTGTGGATGGTGTAGGAGAAAAATACCAATCTTCTTGCCAGGAATTATAATCCATTTATTCTTTCTTTTAGCATTTCTCACACAGCCTCTGCCTTATATTTCTCTAACTAAATATTTTTAGATTTTTAAAAATCATTGCTTATTTTTAAAATCAGGTTCCTTAATGTTAACTCCTTTAGGGAAAGGATTTAGTTCAGCATAATAATATCCTCAAAATGGACACAGGAATGGGGTTCTAATGAAGAATCTCATGGTTTATCTCCTTTATCTATTACATAAAATAGGAGTGAAGTTAATTTTTGTTCTTTCTGAAGTTCAAAGGAGGAAGGAAGGAAGGTAGGTCCTTGGATAGAAGCCACAGGACATGAAATTAATTCTGAGGGAACCAAATTAATCTCCAATACTGAACACTTCAACAAGAGAATAATCAGAAAAGCCATTGAAATAGAGAAACACCCCCATAACATGAATAAACGGGATGATACCTCCCGCCTACCAGACATCTAGAAACTAGCCCTTATCAACAAATGAGTCCCAGTCACGAAAACCAACACCGGACCCAAAACAACACATGACACCACCACCAGTCTCCCTCACCAGACTCAAACCCAAACCCATCCCATAGATGAAAGGCAACCACCATCCAGAAACCAGACCATGGCTGCATCACCAGCTGCCACACCCCCTGACCCCCAAACCAAGCAAACTGACACACGCCATAAACACATAGCCAGGCCTCAAACTCGGAGCCAAACCAAAACCCAGAACGTCACATTACAGCCACCCGTTCTGGATATCACATCACAAAACTCAGGAGGTTACACCACAAAACCTCAGGATGTTACAACATAGCCAACGACCCAGGAGATTACAGCACAAGACCCAGGATGTCACAACAATAGAATTCAGAAGGTCATCACACAGCCCATTACCCAGGTCGTTACAACACAGGAGGCTGATAGACACACAGCCAATACCTCAGCCACACATGTTCTTACGAAAAAGCCAACCAATCTGCAAACATCAACTCCATCAACCAATTAAGAAATAACAACACAGCCAACCTCCCAACCAGTATATATAGAGAGACAGCAGCTCCGATCATGCTTTGCTCACATAAGCATGAAGATGAAAGCACCAGTCTGAAGATGAGAGTGGGACCTCGTCGCCAAGATACTCTCAATCTTACATGGGAAAAGACCCGAACACGCCAAGACCTGCAATATATATATATAACATTGATGGGGATGCTATTTTACATCATCATACTGCAAACATGACACAAAGTTACTTTATACGCTAGTAAGAGATTGAGATATTAAAAGCACTCAGAAACTCCTTTGAATTCCTACTATTCGTTTTATTTTCCACATTTATATAGCCGCCATCTCACAATCAGGCTACTAAATGGTGGAGATGTTAAGTCCTCTACTGTGTCTGTATGTAGCTACTGAGTCTAGAGCTAAACCTCCCGAGATGAAATGGCAAAAAAAAATGTGGGTGAGTCACTCATCCCCTATATTTTTGTGTACTATATAACCTCTCAAAAATACATTTGAGTGGCCATTTCCCCTGCAACAAGAAAGGGAAGGTGTGAGCTTAATATTTCAGCAGGAGTGAAAAATAGCTCTCACTTGCTGTCAAGAATTCAGTACTAAAGGCTATTTGCAATGTTTGTAAAAGAAAGAAATAAAATTAGGAAGGTGGTTATCTCCTGCTGGCCTTGAATTGCAACAGTGAAGTCTGTTTCCTCAAGGTGTTGGATAAATACAGATAAATGTGCAAAAAAGAGCCATATAGCAGAACCTACAATATTTAGATTCTTGGGGGCAATGAAAGGAGCAAAGATGCTCATTCCTTGATTTTAATGTACAAAGTCACACAAGTACACATTTTATTAGTCATGGACATCACTGTGCTTTTTTATAATAACCCTAATGAATAATATTAACTAATAAGACAATCATGGGGAATAGGAGGGATGCCAAAATGGATCTGAAGAATGTAATCTCTCCACTATTGCTGGATCCACTATCAAAATATCTGGTCAACTTCACGTCCAAGCACCCAAACCAACTGTTTTGCAGGGCCATATTTTTACTATGACATAAAAGCAGCAGATTGGTCATGGTAGACCAGGCAATCTTGAGAGATGCATTTTAGCTGCTTGGAAAGCACAATGCCTCGCTACTGATTCTTCAGTACATTGTAATAAACAAAGCTGACTTAAATAGGAAGAGCAAAATGGCTGAGCAAAATGGCTGTCACGATAATACCTTCAACTTGCTTTATTTTTTCTTCTCTCAGTATTTAAACACTTACTTAAGTCTTTTTACTTTTTCTCACAGTGGACCTAAAGTCAACAACAATAACAACAACAAAAACCCTAAAATAATTTGGACAGAAAAAGTACACATGTCAAAGACAATGAAACAATGTACAGTGTTCTGACAGTAGCAATGGTGGATACATTGTGATGATTAATGGTGCCCTTGAGAAGAATTAATAATATTTTTTCACTAAATGGTGAAAAAGGATTGCAGACTTCATTAATCATAGCCCTCTCCTATTTTACTGAATGCTCCTAACACCTTAATTCTTTGGAAAATACCCCTTTTGGCATTTTAAAGCAATTTATCAAATACCCATATTTGGGTATAAAAGGGCATGTAATGGTAGAGATAGAATCAGTAAATCCAGGTTAATATGGACATGAAAGTAAGGTACTCTCTTCTAGAGCAGGTTATTTATGGAACCTGATCTTTTTCAAAGGTCTCTAAAACAGGTTATGAAAACAGAACCACATGAAGGACAAGAAAGGATTATCAACTTCTTTGTCAAATGTTGTCATGGATGGCAGATGAAGTGAAGTAAAAACTATCTGCCAGCTCACAGTGGTGATGCTGTGTTTGCACTGAAAATCAAATCCAGAGAGGAGCTCATCAGGCCAAAACAGGAATGCCGCCACTTGGCAAAACCACCACTTATTTTACAGCATGGAAGAGCCACTTCCATTGATTAAGGGCAGAGGTGGTATTCGGCAGGTTCTGAACAGTTCTGGAGAACCAGTAGGAGAAATTTTGAAGAGTTTGGAGAACCAGAAAACGCCACCTCTGACTGGAGATTTTACCATATCCTTTCCCTGCCCCGCCCACCAAGCCACACCCACAGAACAGGTAATAAAAACATTTGAATCCCACCACTAATTAAGGGGCCATGCCTGTGTGCAATTTTCAGCCTCAGCGGGAGGAATGACAGTGACAGTG